GAATGGTACAATTATTCCAGTTGCGCCTGAAGTAAAATTTTTAGGAGTGACGTTCGACCGAAAATTGACTTTCCTTTCTCATGTTTTAAACCTGAGAAAGAAGTGTCTAAAAACACTAAATATTTTAAAAGTGTTGGCGAACACCTCCTGGGGTGCAGAGCGTTGCTCCATGCTTCGCATTTACAGAGCGCTTATCCGCTCTAAACTGGACTATGGCTCAGTTGTTTATGGATCCGCTCGGTCATCTGTTTTGTTAAAACTGGATCCTGTTCACCATCAAGGTCTGCGGATTTGTTCAGGAGCTTTCAGGACTTCTCCTGTGCAGAGCCTATATGTTGACTGTAACGAACCATCACTTTATCTGAGGCGTGAGCAATTGTCCCTTTTGTCCCTTTTGCAATATTTTAATACTCTATCTCAACCTGAACATCCCAATAAGCTGTGCTTACTTGATAATGAGTGTAACACATTATTTGAAACACGTCCATCCTGTGTTCCTACTTTCCCTTTAAGAGTTCGCCCTGTCATTGAGGAACTCTCCCTCCCTCTCTGATATGCACCCCCCAAGCAGTACAGAATTTTGAAATTCCACCTTGGGAAAATTCACGGATCCAGCTTCTTGATGTTTTTAAACATCACGTAAAGGCGAGCACTAACGAGATCGTTTACAGACAAATTTTCGCTGAGCACAGGCACAAATATAGCAGTTATTATCCGATATACACAGATGGATCAAAGTCAAATGATCATGTGGGGATGGCTTTTGTATTTGAAAATTACATAGAGGGCAGATGCCTGCACCATGCTTTCTCTGTCCTAACATCTGAACTAACTGCAATATATTATGCTCTTTTGTACATCTCAAAGCTCTGCCACAAAAAGTTCATAGTTTACACAGACTCGTATAGTGCTCTTAAATCCTTGGAAGCTTTTCCCAACGCTCAGAATCCTGTGGTAGTGGATGTTCTCAAAATTCATAGAAATTTAATGATACGAGGATATGAAATCCTGTACTGCTGGGTTCCCGGGCATACGGGAATAAAGGGAAACGAGCTTGCAGACATCGCGGCAAAATCTGCTGTCGAACTGTCCAGTCGCCTTATCCCTTTTAGAGACATCTGCTGTGTCATCAAGGGAAAGATACGAAAAAAATGGCAGCAAATTTGGGATGTTCAGCATCACAACAAGTTGAGAAACATCAAACCTAGAATTGAGCATTGGGATTTTGCTGGAAATCGTAAAGAGGACGTTCTTTTGACTCGACTCAGAATTGGTCATACCAGAGTCACACATAGCTATCTTCTTAAAGCTGAAAATGAGCCTGTTTGTTTTAATTGTAATGTTTGTTTATCTGTTCGTCATATTTTAATTGAGTGTCCATGTTTTAATAGTCTTCGCCAGAAATATTTTAATAGCTGTGACTTACCTCTCGACCGTTTAATCGGAAGAGAGGTCAATTCTAATTTATTTTATTATTTAAAAGAGATTGGCTTTTATTACCAAATGTAATTTGTTTTGAAGACTGTGTCTTGAATGTTAATATGTGCTTTTAACTTGTTTTTATATGACTTCATCCTCTGGATTTGGTACATTTATCTACTTGTTTTTATTTATTGAATTTTAATGTCATCAATTGTAATCATCTCATCTTTTGTTTGGCGCGTCATAATCATCTCTGGTTTTTGCGCCATAATCACTCACTCACTCACTCACTCACTCCATACTCAAGGATCCCATTCCGGATATGAATTCTTGGAGTATTTATAGGATTCCTTGCCAGTGTGGTTTAATTTACATTGGCCAAACTAAGAGAGGCCTAAAATTTCGCGTCAAGGAACATGAGGCATATGTTAGAAAAAAGGAAACACAGAAGTCTTCTGTTGCTCAACATTGTTGGTCCGAAAATCACACTTTCAATTTTTCTGCTGCCAAAATTATTCAAAAAAAAAACATCTTCCATTGGAGAACTGGATTTTATAGAGGCATTTCACATTCAAAAAAATCTTTCTTTCTGTTCTAGTTAACGATCCTAATTCCAATCCATCTTGCCTTTGGCCTTTAAAGAAAATTATGTTTTAGTTCTGGTTTCACCAACAGATGGCACCACTTGCTTATTCTTGTCCAGGCTTTCTTGTCTTATCTAATCATTATTTCCTATCTTGTTCATTTGCGGTTTTGCACCTGAGAATGGTGGTTCGGTAAAACCATCGAAACTAGTCCTGTGAAAATTTTGAAAATTAACGCTGATTTTTGTTGTTTGACTTGTGAATTACTACAGTTAACAATCATAAGAATATACATTAACAAAAAGAATTACATATAATTATCCTACCTAAAAAAACACCTCTTACTTACAATGTAAAAAATGAGCACCTTCTACTTTGAAGACTTGGTCATATAAGGACATACTAAGAATATACTACTTATTTTAAATACAACTTAGTTACAGTTCACATTATAGAATATGCAAAGGCACAGTTGCATAAAATTTACTAATGTTAACACCTAACGTTATGCAATAGTGAATACAGAAAAATGCAAAGTAGATAGTAAGAATACTGTGCAAGTGTAGCAACTCGTCTCCCAAAGAGACACTTGCATAAAGTTTCATGCAAAACTTTACAATCACCCATTACCGAAAACATATTAAAGCTTACATTGACAATTACATTAGAAGGCCTATCCAATCCGTAGGAAATGTGATAGCCGATACATTCAGACGGTGGTATTATAGAGTGCCTATGTTACACCGAAGTGCAATTATGACACATACACCATCATAATCTTGTTGACTTTGTTGAGGAAGATGTAAAGTTTAAAACGTACAGTGGCCAACTTAAAAAAATCACTGGCTAGGAATTTAAATAGAATATAGTAGGACTACATATTTTGCTCAGACGTAGCACATGTGGTGGTGTATTCTGGGAAACATTTGGTGCAATCCAGAAATAATTATTACAGTGAAATTATGTTACAAGACACATACCCAAGAATGCATACACCTGAGTGTGTTCTGGATACCTAAATTATACTGAGAATAGACATATACAAATACACACATAAATACATACATAAATACACAAAACCTACATGAATACACACTGATAATATACATAATGAAATACCAAATTTAACTATTATATACAGACAAAATAATTCCAGACTACAAAAAGCGGCCGAATTACTCTAATGTCTATACAGTTGCACCCGAACTAAAAGAGTGTTGGATGATGATTCTCCTTCCCCAGGATTTGGCGATTGGGTCCCCTAAAAAACTTCAGTCGCCCTTTAAAAAGTGGAGTATATAATGTATTTCTTCCGCTTCCCTAGCGTGGTTGGTGTAGTGGTTCTGCGAAGAACCACTACACCACACTTCTGGATGTGCCATCACTTACACCAGGAGAGCACGAATAGGGGAGACGTAATAATTCCGTATAAAGTTATATACTTTAATACTGTCATATCCTGCTTTTCTTAGAAGTCATATATGAATGTATTTTCTTAATATATTATCACCGCTCTCAATGTTTTCAGTATCTATTGAAAGCAACAAAGTTGTAATTTTCAGTCCAAAGGGGCTTTGTCCGTGAAGGACTATTGTTTTCGTTTTGCGATTTTGCGTTGAATCACTATAAAATGTGAATCACTTTTCATACTGTTGCCACCAAATGTTAGAGTCCTGCATTATATTTCAAGAAATTAAATAATAAAAGATTTCTGGCATTTGTGATAAAAAGCGGTACATAGAGCCATCGAATTTTGAATGACGCTATCCTCCTAAGAATATGGGTATGTGAAGGACCAAATTTGAAATTTGGAATTTGTTTTATTATCTATTTCATATTTTGTAAAACTTTAACGAATTTTTGAGTAAAAAACTCAAGGATTTTAAAGCGAGCCATGGCAACGTTGTACAGAAAAACATTTTTATCTCCAGGGCGTGAGTCTCCGTATCGGAAATTCTAAAGATAGGCTGAATTTAAAACTGTTTTGCGACATTGCTATTGAACTTAATTTATGGTTAAGAACATGATATTTATTAAATAAAGGTAAAAAACAAAAACGTTAAAACACTCCCCTTGGACGTAATTAAAATCTGAAACCTTTCAGAGATTTTTTTTTTTTTTTTTTTTTTAGTTATATTTAGAGAGAAAGTTTGTACTACTACAAACCAACATCGGAATCTAGTTGTTGATGAAAGTATTGAGGTATATCATTTCCGACACTTTTCTATACATGATAGTCCAGCTATATGAACAAATCCATAAGACGAAATCTAGATATCTTAAAATGTGAAAAGTTCTAAAGTACAATTAAATGCCTGTAATTATAGTGTTTAATTTGTAACTCATTCATCATGTTTGAGAAGAACTCATTCATCATGTTCCGATTCTAAAGTACAATTAAACGCCTGTAATTATAGTGTTTAATTTGTAACTCATTCATCATGTTTGAGAAGAAATGTGAGAAATGATAAACTATCCATTTACTACAAAGCAGATTAAAAGGCGTGTACTTTAATAGTTTTGGATGTATCAGAATACTTCCGAAATGTAATCATTAACAATCATATAACGAGCTAGCCAAATCTAGGATTATCAAAAGACAATACTGAATATGAATCACTTATAAAAATGAATCACTTAATAAAAATGATAGGCAATATTCCAGAAATAAGGTAACAAATTTCTGATAAAGGCGTTAATATCGTTACACTGTTGAGGTCATAAAAATGCGTATCTGCGAAAATGTAAAGGGAAAAGCTAGTGTTCCGAATTATTTTATTTTTGTTAGGTGCACCCAGAATTGGATATGAACACAACTGAAATATTTCATAGAAACCTCCGCGTTATTAATAATGCACCGAACGGTGTCCAATAGCAGTGACGCTAGGCGCGTCTTCATGCTCTATCTGTTCAACAGAAAAATCACTGCACTTAGTTTCATTTCCATAAAGCTTCCGCAACTAACTGAATTAATGTAGGGGCAAGAGCAGAAGCGGAAAACGGTAGACTTGGACCTGACAAGACTTAATTTTGAAGCTAAATCCGTTCTCTCAAGCAGGGTTTGTTTCAATACATATATTTTAAACTAGTGTAACTTGCAGATTTAAGTGAAAACATACACATCAAAGTTTTAACTTAAATGGTATGATTGTGTATTTTGTGAAATACTGATAATCAATGTAGCTTTTGGAATATCCTCAATATAGCTTAATATATCATTCTTCAACTTTAGCTCTGTATGGGTCAATATAGCTTTCAGAATCCGATATAGCTTATTGGAAAATATCCAGTATGGGATTTTGGATTATTTCAAACGGATTACAGTTTAGGAAATGAATTTTGTTCACTCAAATGAAAGTTATTCCTTGAAAGATCAATTATTTAGCTTTTAAATAATTATTTTAATTAATTCATTTTATTGAAAATATCACTAATATTACAACATGTGAAAACAGATCAGCCTTTTTACGTAAAAAATTACCATTTAAAAAAAATTCAAAATTGTTCGTCATTTAAATGACTCATTCACAAAACATTTTCCGTTTATGTATCTTTTGAATTTTCTTGGTAAAATTATGTAACCGATAACTGAAGCTATTTCAAGAGTAATTTAAACTTTTACATATTAATAATTTGTTAATATATGGGATTACAAATGAAGAGCTCTGTTAAAAATGTAATGTTTTTTATGGAAGATTTAGAAAAAACAGTTACTTTAATGCTTTTAATATCTGAAATATTTTAAACATTTGAAAAGTTGTTTTACGTATATGTGAATTTCAAATTGTTTCTTGTGTTCATTTCATTATATCTAAAATTTATATTATAAATAATAAGATTTAATATAAGCATTTCATATGTTTCTGAAACAAATTTTATAAAGAAATGCTCTACATAGAAGCCAAACGTGTATAAATAGCCATAACGAAGCCATCTTTCCTCATATGTCCAGCTTTCGTTTGATTACTTTCGATTTTAATTTCCATATGTCAACGTGAAAGACCGAAATTGGAGAATGTCGACTTTCACCGGAGAATGTCAACATTCACCAAATACGTCGGTGAAAGATCGAATATTTCTACATTCTTGTACATTCGAACCCTCAACCGGTGTATGTCGACAATCACAGATATGCTCTGGTGTAGGTCGAAAGAGAGGAGTATATGTACACGCTGCCATTCCAAAGGGAAGTGTTCCACAAAATAAATACAGTTGTAAAAGCAAGGGCCTCTTGTGCAATTCAAAGTGTCATAATAGTTTAAGTTGTTGCAATAAATAAGATTTGAATCACATTATTTGGTAAGTTTTAACTTCTATTATTTTTTTTTCTCATTTTGAATGTACTGTGTGTTTAAGTTCTTATATTCTTAAGTTCTTATTTCTGAGTCTCAAGCGCGTTTTTTCGCGAATGAATGACGGAGAAGGAAATATAATATTGTTATATGTTCAACATTCATCATTAGTACATGGTGAATGTCGACATTCACCGGTGTAAGTCAGAAATAAGAGTATTTGGAAAATATTTCGGACATACACCAAGCGACTATGTGAATGTTGACATTCACCGGTGAAAGACTACATTCTCCAGATTTCGGTGTTTCACCGTAACACATACATGAATGTTTGATGCTGTATTTAATCTGGTTTCTAACACTTACGTTTAAACTTGCAAGATTAATTTAGATATTCTATATTATATTTTATAATTTCGCAAATTACAAATATCTATTAGCTCTCTTAAAAAATGTAACGTTTTTCAGTGGAAGAGCAGGAAAAAAAAACAGCTTTAATGCTTTTAATATCTGAAATGTTTTAAACTTACAAGTGAAATTTTGGTTGTGATAATTGCGAGTTTCAAACTTTTTTCTGTGTGAATATGCAATCTAATATTTATATTTTAAATCTGAAGGTTTTATATGCATTTTAAACATTAGACATGTAATACATGTAAGTAGTTTCTTAACAAATCCAGTTTTCGATTTATTGCTTTCTATGATTGTTTGATGCTCTATTAAATCTTTCGTTTAAACTTGAATAATAGTCATCGTCTAAATTTTTTATTGGTATAGAAGAACAGGATTTTGTTATTTTAATAAATAGTTTAAGAGAATATATTTCTTGGTTATAGGAGGGAATTATTAGGCAATGCTTTAAATTTTGCAAACTTTTCCTGTTTAGCAAATTCTATATTTTATGCATTCTTTAAAATATATTATGAATAGGTGTGTATATATCACAGCAATATATATTTTATCTTTTGAATTTAAGAATTTTAACTTGCGCTGCATTACGAGTAATTGTTGTAGGGATTGTTATATGTATGCTCTCTTAGTACGCATTTTAAAACTCGAAAATTTTACTTTTTTTTGGATGCTCTTTAATTTTTTTTTTATTTATTTATTTTTTATTTAAGCAATGTATTTTTTAAATACATTACAAAATATCTTCAAGCGATTTGAGGAGAAAAATGCTTCATTTTGAGACACAACTTAGCTGATTTATGCAAATAAGTTGTGAATCATTTGATTCATTTCGTTATTGATTTCAAGTGAATTATGAGATTATTTATGTAAACTTAAAACTGATAGTAAATATAAAAGTCATAATCGTGATTTATTTTATTACATGCAATTTTCAAAATGTTTCATTAATATTCTGAACTTTTTTTTTTTTTTTTTTTTTTTTTTTTTACTTTTATGCACAAAAGAACTGACACATGAATTACTTTAGTTTAAGATTTCTAATCGAAATTTTTAAAACTAAATCTATATCATAAGTTTCTGCGCACAACATTTTATAAAATTTGGCGAAAAGTTTCTCAAAATATTTTTTCTTCGTTATACAGTCATACATTACATATTAATTCTGTATGCTATAAAAATGACATCTTAAAATTACAGAAGCAAATGGAAAGAAATTTTTTTTATATAACTGGAATATGAAAATTACTTTAATTTTTTAAATTGCTTTATAAGTGAATACAATGGTGAATATAGAAACTTGACTTTTATAGCGCCTTAATTTTGGATTTATCTACAATACTGATTTCAAAACCTGTTTTGCCTTACAGCTGTAATTTACAGCCATCTTTCACATACATCAAACGCTTTTTATATTGTACATATATATGAAAGGTAATATAAATGTAATTAATTTTTAATTTCTACTATGTCCTCGGAAATGAAGAGCAAAGATTCCAAAATGAATCTTATTAAAAACTACTTCGGAAAATTAAGGTTAAACTATGAAACGAAATGTTCAGAAGTTTTTAATTGCAATGGGATTCATGATAAAAACTAAAAGTACCAAAAAGTACATAAATGAAATCAGAAGAAAATTCATTATTGCCGATCCCATGAAAGAAGGCTGACTTTTCAAGGGAAATTAATCTCTTCCCACAAAACCGTCAGTAACTAAAGAGAGATAGCGTTCCGTCTCCGTGCATTTGAATAAAATAGAAATTCTTTTCAGAAGAATGAGAAAAAGCCAAGATATATAAATATTTTTAATTTAAATTAGTAAATTTCAAATACTCGAAGGAAATTTCCTGAAGCGATCCGAAAAAGAAATTTTTAAATATATGAGTAATTAAAACAAAGAGAAAAACCAATTTAAAGCATTTTTAAATCGTAATTCGGTAATTCATATAAACAAAAGGTATTTAGTTATACGTTTTTAAATTGCCGTATGTCATATTTAAATAATACATGGGTCAAAAAGTATGACTTTAGTTTCGACTTTACAGTTTATACGTTTTCACTAGTATATCATTGTCCCAATTCGAAAAGCAGTTTAGTTTGAAACAATACGCATTGTTTTTTATATCTATTGTAATACTTATATATTTCATCTCATGTCTTAGTACCAAGGTTACAAACTGAGCTGCACCCAAATAAATCTGCATCGCATAGCTATGTAGGGCCGGAAATGAGATGTGCATGCAGTGGTGCATATAGAAAGCATTAGAAATGAAAGGACACCATGTATGTGAATATCCATTTAAATAACAAATGCGCATCCACAATAAAAAAAATTAGGCCCAAAAAAGAAAATCTGAAATGTTTCAGATTTTAAATTATGTCCAGAGGGGCGTTTTTTTAACATTTTGTGTGTTACCTTTATTTATTAAATATCATGGTCTTTGCACTTAAACCATAAAGTTCAATTCAAAGGCAATAGGGCGAAATAATTTTAAATTGAGCCTATCTTCAGAATTTTCGATACACAGTCTCGCGTGCTTTAGATAAAAATGTTTTTCCTGTACAACGTTGCCATGCCTCGCTTTGAAATCCTAGATTTTGTTAATCAAAAATTCGTTAAAGGTTTACAAAATTAAAGCAGTTTAATCGATATTAAAACAAATTCCAAATTTCAAATTTGGGCTTCCAGATGCCCATATTCGCAGCAGGATGACGTCATTCAAAATTGGATAGCTCTAGGTACCGTTGTTTTATCACATCGCGAGAAACATACATACATTTATGCAGATTCTTCATTATTTAATTTCTTCAAATATAATGCAGAGCGATAATAGTTGGTGGCAACAGTTTGAAAAGTGAAACGGACATTCAGAGTGATTCGAAGCAAAATCGCAAAAGGAAAACAATAGTCCCTCAGGGACAAAGCCTCTTTGGACTAAAAATAACCAAGTGTCCTTCAAATAAAATGTTATCGAAGTGTCCTTCATGAGCGGTAATGCAGGCTTCACATCTTCGGCACGTGGAATTCCGAACTGTTCTAGATTTCAGGCATGTCTTCCCAGTATGTACTGCGAAGCCCGTAACCAGTTCCTCGTTGGTGTCATACATCAGCATTTTAATACATTCCCTAAGTAATCAAGGGCTAATGGATAGGTCTTGTGATCAAGCAAGCCAATGAATGCATCGGATCATCACACCGGATCCACCGATTGCCAAATGTAATGTTTTAAAGGTCCCGTTTACCAGATACACTGCGGTTAATTCCTACTGAGATACGTATTGGTGTAGTCACCCATCCCTAGTAAGCTTTCATCCAAGAACGCTAGGCCCAATGTCATATACCGCATCAGGTAAGCATTTCTGGCCTTATATTTTTCAGCGATTCCAAGTATCTGTAGAACAGCTTTTTAATTCTCGACAAAAATGCTTTCATTTCAAGAGCTAAATGCGTCTGTCTAATAATAAATCTTAACATTTCCAGTATCTCAAGAAAAAAATACAGCAGCCGGCAAGGCAGCAAAATGAGAGAAGAATTGGGATATATTTCTGCTCCAAAGATAATTTTGGCTTTGATGTCCTAAAAACTTAAGCTGTGTAGATATTTTGAGTGTTCATTCCTTTCACTAAATATAATACGAATATAATAATAAATAAAATATAATACGTTTAGGTTTAAACAAGCCTGCAGATCTTCTTAATATATCCTCTTTTCGGAATTAAATTGTAGAGTTATAAGGTATTTCTCCCACTTCCCTAGCGTGCCTTCGTGGTGTAACGGAGCACGCTGGGACGGTGTTCCAGAGGTCCTTGGTTCGATTCCCGGCGAAGGCGGTTACATATTTTTCATCTTTTCTACTTCCAATTAACCTAATGACTCTACAAGTGGCGCCCGAACTAAAAGGGTTGTGGATGATGATTCTCCGCACCCAGGACTGAGTCGATACACTGAGAGGTCCGTGGTTCGGGTCCCGGCGAAGGCATTGAGAAGTTTTCATCTTGCCTGCTTCCGAAAAAAATCCTAATGTCTCTACAGTGGCGTCCGAACTAAAAGGGGTTGTGGATGATGATTCTCCGCACCCAGGATTTGGCCACTAGGTCCCCTAAAAACCCTAGTCGCCCTTTAAAAAGGCGAGTATATAAGGTATTTCTCCCACTTCCCTAGCGTGCCTTCGTGGTGTAAAGGTAGCACGCTGGGCCGGTATTCCAGAGGTCCGTGGTTCGATTCCCGGCGAAGGCGGTTGCATATTTTTCATCTTTTCTGCTTCCTTTTCTGCTTTAATCTAATGACTCTACAGGTATGCTTCCAATTACACCACGAAGACATGCAGAAAGGAGGAAAAAATACCGAATAAAATTAATTTTATCCTTTGGCTTCTGTTGAGCATTTTTCTCTTGTTCTTGAGCAACAAACTATAGTTGCTGGTGCAAAGATGAAATTTTTGCATTACCTTGAAAAGTAACTTATTACATTATATTCAAATGCGATTGCGATGATTAAAGTTTTACTTACACATAAACATTTTTTTACAGGATACGGCAAAGTAATGACTTAACATTACCGGACAGTGGAATAAACACAAGCAAATCAAGTTTAAAAGATAGTCTTATAGAAGATGAAAAGATTTATTCCTTCCATTTGGAGCCTTTGTTGTATTCTATTTGCTTCGGGAAGTGTTATGTTTCCCAATATATCTCCTGCTGGCCCAAACTATCCGAAGTATGCTACGAAGGACTCAAAAGCCATCACCCCGTATCAACATCTATTGGTAATTATTTTTTTTCATAATTATAAAATTCAATTTTGGCGTACCAAAATCATATTTACAAATGAATTAGATTAATATTTAACTAAGATACTGTTTTTTAATTATAATTAATAATTAACTACCTTTAAGCAATTAAAATATCAATGTGAATGCACAGTTTAACAGTATTTAAAATTATAATTCGCTACTATTTTTCATAAAGTGATCTTTAAAATTTTCTAAAATTTCAAACTACCTCAAACATCGTTTCATTTAGACCAGCGGTTCTCAACCTTTTAACTAACGCGTACCATCCGAACAGAAATTGAAAACCTTTAGTACCACCACTACAAAGTACTACAGAGGCTGTTCACACATTTTTTAGACGATGTATATTGTATTCACAAAACTAAATTACATAAAATTCTTGTGTTTTAAATGTTCTATTTGACATCCCTTATTCTGAACTATCGACATCCCTTATTCTGAACTATCTTCCGACATCGCAATTTACATGATAATAATGCCTTTTGAGGTGGCAGAAGAGGTATTCTATCCCATTCCTCTCGAACAGCTTTCCAGATTCCTGTTAGGGTTTTGGGACAACGTTTGGATAATGCAGTTTTTAAAGGTCCGAAAGCACAAAAATCCATTGGTGACACATCGCGAGATTGAGTAGGGATATCAGTGAAGGGTTATGGCTTTGATACCAGTTTTTTGTTCCATTTCTTTTAGGAAATTTACAGTGGTTTTGATGTGTGACTGCTATCTTTGTCTTGATGGAGTCTCACACATGAATGGCACTGTGGGTAAAGCGATGGTATTTCATTCAGAAACATTGGCGATAAAATATGTTCCTGATAGTATTTGGAGTTAATCTTGACATTTTGCACTCTCTTATTTTTAACTTGCCATTATAAGAAAAAACCATCAACAATCATGAATCCCTTAGACAAACTTTCTTTCGATTTTTGAACCATGTACTTAAATTTTTTTCTCCCTTTTATGATAATAATGGCTCTTTTTTTTTTTGTTACAGTCATTAAAGTACACCAATGCTTCATTATTGGACAATTGTTTCCATGTTTCTTTGGATAAGTGTTTCTCATATAGAATCTGCAGCGTGTCCTGCGTTGAGCGATATGCTTTGGAAAGAAGACGATGCACATTGCGTTTTTTCGCTTTCTTAAGATTTAAATCAACGTTTATCATTTTGTTTACGGTGGACACCGAGCATTTGAATGATTTCGCAACTGTCCTTTGACCAGGGGGATTTTCTTTTAACATTAAAGAACGTACCTTTGCAATAGTCGAAGATGTCCGTTTTTTCCGTGGATATTTGTTTGGAATTTTTGTCCCACTTGAGGCTCCAATCTGACCTTTTTTTCCTCTCTTGTTGATGATATTACCTATCGACGCTTTAGATATCATAAAACCATGACTCTCACATCGTTTTGGGATAACGGAGTATGCATATTTCTCTTCGGAAAGAGCGTTAATGTAGCCTTTGAATCACTGCTTTGTTAAATTCGCCATTTTGAATAAAAACAAAACTTTTAAGCCACAGACAATAATTTTGACTTTTAAAAATATAATACAATTGCAATTACTTCTTTTGCAGCAAACGATTTTTTATTACCGCGTACCAAAGTCGTCTAAAAAATGTGCGAACAGCCTCTGTACTACAACCACCACTCTTGAACAAAGCTCAGATCGCATAAATTTAGGAGTGTTAGACAAAAAAACTCAATCAAGATGTTGGGGTTTTAATTTTTGAATTTAATAGTTAAAAATACTTTGCTTCTTTGTGTATCATCTATTTTTCTCTTTCGTACCACCGGTTGAAAACTCCTGATTTAAACCAATGTTTCTTGCACTGTGGGTCGTGACCCCGAAAAAGCGAAATTTTGGGGTCACAAAAATTCAGTTCGATAGTTGAATTTAAAGAAACTGCATTCCTAAGACTTTTAAAAAAATTACATCAGTTGAAATCAGTCACATTAGCTTTGTAAAGACATTACATTAATTGATATTAATGAGATTAGTTACCTGTTATATAAAGTGCACAAACATGTTAAGGGGACTCATACACCTTAAAATCCATAAGATGTTCGAATAGGTGACTGTTGCAGAATTGGGATAACTTATTTATTTTAAAAGCAATTACTTCCAACCTTTTACAGCTGACAACATAATATAGCTAATTTCTGAAATAGTAATCAGAAAATTTGTGTTGCCACAAATGTGTCCATAATTCAATCCGCTTTGTGAACAAAATGTTTCGTCATGTTTCCACCTTGCGCGCACAGTTTTGAACATTCTGTTGCATAATTTAATTCCATATTTAATGTATAGCTTTTATAGCATTTAGAAACTACTGTGAACCTAAAAACTCTAAGATTTTCATGTTAAAAATTTATTTTATTTGGAGTTGAGTTTAAAAAATGTATTTTATTAAAAAAATATGTAATGTTTTCGTGCATAAAAATTTTTAATATTAAAATATTCATCAGATTGTTGGTTCAGGTAGAAAATCGTGTCCCATATAAAGAAGTCCATGCAATTTCAAGTATGTACCATTAGCCATTTTTAAAATATAATGCGCGCAAGGTGGAAACATGGCGAAATATTTTCACAAAGAGGATTAAATTACAAAAATATTTGTGGCAACAAAACTTTCTGGTCACTATTTTCAAAAGCAGCTATATTATGTAGTCAGCTGTAAAAGTTTGAAGTAAGGTTTAAAATAAATAAAATATTCGAATTCTTGCAACAGTCACGTATTCGATGATCATAAGGGGTTTAAGGTGTATGAGTCCCCTTAACTCAAACCTAAAACTTAAATTTTCACATAAGTCTAGATTTCTCACTATTTCTGAAATGGCATTAAATATTCTTCTCTCATTCAGCACCACGTATTTTTATAAAACTAATTTTTCAGCTTTAATTAAAACCAAATGTCGTTCAACGTTAAAACATGTTCGAAGATTCTTTATGTCCAGCAGTGTCAAATATCGCACTAACATTTAATTTGTTATGCAGCAGAAAACAAGCACATCTGTCTCATTAGAATTTTCTTTAATTTTTGTTTGCTTAAAATAAATCCTAAAATACTTCTTTTTATACTCGTATTTATACTGTTTACCAAAGAAGTAAATTGTTTACGGCAGGATAATTATTTTTATATCTTTATTGTATATTTAATATTCCAGGTCACGACTGAAAAAAGTTTAAGAAGCCTTGATTTAGACACTAATTTGTGTTCTAACTATTACAGTGTTTCAGACAGTGTTTTTGGTTGGTTTTAAGTCTTACAAATTTGAGAACTATGTATATATACGCAACACAGGTACAGGTTACGGAGGACGCGGACGCCTTTTGTTTAACATAGGTAAACAGGCGTATGTCCCACGCCCTCCATTATCTAGAAACAACAACTCCCTGGAGCTCCAGGAGGCTGCACCGGGAGTTCATTTGGATCTTAAATAAATTTGTTACATGGCCATACAAGGGCTATAACTGATGTAAGACATTGTGTGGGAAACGTAGTACAATGTTATATATAAAAATTACAACAGCAGTGATATAAAACACATTAATATACACATTAAAATTAATAAAAATATGACATGAAACACATAAAGCACAAATTACACACACACACACACACACACAAAAAAAAAAAAAAAAAAAAAAAAAAAAAAAAAAAAAAAAAAAAAAAAAAAAAAACCCGCAAAAAGAGAGGAAAAAAAAATAAAACATATTATCACATATAAACAGAGACCATTAAAAATTCAGTATACATAATGTGCTGTGCATATATGCGCAACACATACAGCAGAAATATACGCAACACATACAGCAGAAAGGTAATAAAAATGCTGCTAGAAAACTGTGTATTTGTAAAAGATGTACATATCACCTTCAAACTAATTATCTCGAATACTGTAATGCGTTATAACGCAATACTGTAATGCGTTTAAGTGATATGTAACAAACTGATATGCATATAGTACGGGTTACTTATGTTAAAGGTTGTGCATTATGCAAGTACATAGTTTATGCAAAATGCATAGTACAAAAGAGAAAATTAAATACATGCAGAGTACATGGTGTACATAATACAGAATGCAAGTACATAATGCAGATAATACAGATAAACAACGTTCATACAGAATACATAGTGCTTTGGACTATGTATTCTGTATGACAATATTGTTACATGATACGTGGGATTACTTAAAACTAATTAATATACTATACATGATACCTATCTTATGGAGGTGCATAATGCGCAATACAAATAAATTACATGCATACAGGATATATACGCAACACATACAGCAGAAAGGTAATAAAAATGCTGCTAGAAAACTGTGTATTTGTAAAAGATGTACATATCACCTTCAAACTAGTTATCTCGAGAGGCTACACACCGTCGGAGATGGACCTCCCACTCTTTGTGGGAGCTTTGGAAGTCGTCGAGTGTGACCACCTTTAACTGGTTCGTCACGGCATTTGGATAGTATCCACATTGCCATAATAAAAGATAATAATAGCTTTCTATTTGGAGTTTTATCTTGGTGAAAATAACGAAATAATGGTAACTGAGATCATATGAGTTTGGGGGCTTGGAACCAATAGAATATTTCTTCTAATAGAAATTTCCGTGACATACTACGTAGTATAGTGAAAGTACATTGAAGTGATGATATACTGCGAAAAAAAAAAAATGTGGAACAGCTCTTCTATATCTCTCGTTCTATTGGGCCGATTTACGAAATTCAACTTGCGTTTTTCATGTCTCGAAAGCGCGACTTAGGATATGTATTAAATTTATATATAGCATTATTCTAACATAGGTATTTTGAAACAAAATCAGACTTCCTCTGAAATGATATGTCATTTTTTTCCACATTTCGATTCTAAGACTTAAATTATGCCAAACTGCGAAATTTTGTAAAAATTGCACGAGTAGTTTTCAAAAAAATTAGCTACCAAAATTTTAGCTCCTCTGTGTT